TCAAATTATTTACCGAATAAATCTTGGAATCACTCATTATGGTCTGATTTTCAACGTTCAACCAACTTAGTTTATATTTTTGTAAAAATAAAATGTTCCCAGTGTCTTTAAGTACCATCTGAAACCTAAGTTCAGCTTTCCTTTTGAACTTGTTTACAAAAAGTATAATTAATTTCTCTTTCGATATAGTGAGCTTTTCATAAAGTTCTCCTTAGTACTAGTACCACTTAGTTAAAATATTATTAACGTCTGAGAACCGCTATATTTAGCTTTGTGTTCCTTTCTCTGTCGTTAGGTTCTACTTAAAAGCTAGTCTTCGTCAGCTTGTGATGTTTTTTAAAAATGTCGCTAAACAAAAGCTGTGACTCAAAATTTCATTTAAGTGATTGATTGGCTTATTCGATTTGAGAAAAATGTTCAACGAAGTAGATTAGCATTAATCAAATTCATACGAAATAAAAAAGCTTCCCTTCGTCAGCTTATGATGGCTTTTAACAAAAGCTGTGACTCAAAATTGTACTTAAGTGATTGATTGTCTTATTCGATTCTAAAATCGTTCTCAAAATGTTCAACGGAGTAGATTAGCATTAATCAAATTAATACGAAATAAAAAAGGGTTTACCACATTACTTAGGTATTTACTTATTTTCTGAGTTCAARTACACAACTTCGTTCTACCTTTATATTTAATTTATTTTTGCAGGACAAGAGAGTTTAAGCAAAGCGAGAAGAAATAAAAATAAATATAAAAGAGTTAATTAAATTTTTTTTCTATGTCTAGAAGTGAAGTGAAATTTTATAGGAAATTATGAAAGCCGAATTAATATCTTAAAAATACAGCAAGATATTAGACCCAAATATAATGAAAATTTCCCGGTCGTTAGTTAACAACTAAAGACGGCGTTGGTGAAATAACTTTTAAATACAAATTAAATCACGAAAAATTTACAAGCAAAAAATAAATGATAATAAGTAATAACAAAAATATACAAATCATAAACAAATATAAAAACCAACATTTCGCTCAGCACAAAAATGCAGTTCTGCTGGTTGACGCAAATTGTCAGTTCCGACTCAAGCCACAAACAAGCAACATATACACAGACAATTTCATTTGCATATATTATACAGGAGCTTGAAATTTAAACGCGAGAGATGCGCAAAAAAACAAAAAAATAAATCAGAATATTTGATTGGTTGGAGCTTCCTAACGGCTTTCTCATATACTCGTTGCTATCTTTKTATTAAAAAATTAATAATTTCGCTGAAATGAAATTTTAATTAATTTGCATCACAAAACACTTATATTCATAGAAACATATACATACAATAAACATAATAGAGCGGGGCGATTTACAGGGAGCCAAAAAGAACCAAAAAAAAAAAAATACACATTGTTTAAAAGACTATGGGATTAAAACCGGTTTCGAGACAGCGATTTTTAATACGAAGGAAATTTTAAGGTATCTTAAAAATTTGTCCGCCAGATATTAAGATACTAAAGTGACATTTTCATATAGACTTTGATATTTTATTGAATTCATTTGTTTTAATGGGCAAGGTCGTACCACTATATCTTACATTCAAGTTCTGCCCTTCAACCCACAATTCAGATTTTCTAAACTTCGCCTTAAAAATGGCTGGCTCGAAATTGGTTTTACAATCTCTTTGACAAAGTTAATCAGAATAATCTGTAGAACAATTTCGGCATGCGCTATTTTATAGTAAAGATATTGACCCGCTCTAATACATATATAATACATATAARTTCATTTTTTAAAATAAATATTTATCATAATCAATATCTAAATCACTTTAGGATCGTCGCGACGACTTGAAATTAATCGTGAACAAAATTGGTAAAAGTGAAGAGCGCCCTAAGGTGACTGCTACCATGATGGCTGATATTGAAAAGGTGAGTTTTATTTATGTAACAACATATACGCACATACATACCTACTAAATTGTTGTACCCAGACTAAACTCACTTACGAATTCAAAACATTTAATAATACTCAAATCAATTATAGTAGAAATTATGGAAAATAATTCTGTAATAGGCATTTGGAAAAATTATATATTTTTAATTTTTATGGAGTTGGCAATACCATATTTAAAGCACCAATGCATTATTASATTGTTTTGGCTAATAAATTTTGTATAAGGGTGGCAACTATCTAAAAATATTTGCGAAAAATTTTGAAATTTTGCACACCGRCAGTGTTATAAAATCTTCACTTTTATTAAAATATAGAATTTTATTTAAAACTAGATGGCAACTATGTTCAAAAATATTTTTGAAAAAAGTCGAACTTTTGTACACGGACATTGTTAAACAATTTTCCCTTGTACTTTAATCTTAATTTTAACTTAAAATTAGGTGGCAACTCTCT